CTTCTTCGATCGTCAGCGTGCAGTTATAATTGGTTGTTTCTTCTGAATAATGTAATGTGGATGAAGTAAACTCGTCCAGTCTGGTACAGGTGTAATAGAGATGGAACTTTACAAGCCATGATGAGGATTTGTCGTTACAAAGTGTAGAGTGCGAGTTTGCCGTGAAACTGACCGAAAGAGAAATAAAAGGTACAAGGTATGAGCAGGGGTATATCGGTACGACACCTCAAATGACAGTAACTAATAGCATGAGGCACTTCCAAAAATAATAACACATTCTGCAGTGTATAGTGTAATATGCCGATATTTTCTTTTCAAAGTTCGCTCTCTTGTGTAAAAAGATGAGGTTTCATTTGATTTTGAATAGAGCATTTCCGCAATACATGAGGACTGGATGACTATCTTTCGTGTGTGATCCCAGAAGTCATAGATTTGATCATCAGTGGGTCATACGACTAAAAACTAGAATTTGCTTCTGTTACCAATTTAAAAGTATTCACTCGCATCTGTATGCATAAAAATGAAGCAAACGCTTGAAAGCATGAATTAAATGGAATGGAATGCAATTCCAAAATCCGTATGCGGAAATATCAAACTGGGCGTAAATAGGGTGAATTGCAATTGCAGCATTATATCCGTCCATTGTTCGTGATTTTTTCAAAGCTGTTTCCTTTTTTCCTTCTATCACCGTCGTAATTATCTGTTTCTTATGAATAATGTAATGTGGATAAAGTAAACTCACCAAGTCTGGTAGAGTTAGAATGGAGATAGAACTTTACAAGACATGATGAGGATTTGTCGTTACAAAGTGTAGAGTGCGAGTTTGCCGTGAAACTGACCGAAAGAGAGATAGGCCTAACAGTTAAATATTTTAAACAGAGGTTTTCGGTGTGGGGTTGGGGTGGGGATGGGGGGGGGGGGGGTAACACTGCTCCTGAAGGGATTTCTTTTTCTGAATTATTACTTGGACAGCTCTGAGTACACAATACTCGTATAATGACGGCAGTGATGGGCAAAACCCAATGTTGACATTTCTGATTCACATGGCTTTGAAAGATATGTACATGAAAGATGATGTAATTTTGTATTTTGTAATTGCAGTTCTTAACATGTATATACGTGAACATGTACTTCAAATGCATATTCATGAGCTAAACCGTGATGTATTACTACGGCTGAGGCAAACAAGTTTGCATGATTACAAGATTGATTTTTTTTTTTTTTTTTTTTTTTGCGCCGGGGTGATATAAATCAAATTAGGTTTTGCCCTTCACCGACGTTTTAAACACTGTATACCCAGTGTGTTACCTCCCGAGTGAAAGTTGGAAAAAAATCACTCGGGTGGGACTCGAACCCACGACCTCCTGCTTTCTAGTGCAGATGTCTTACCACTCGACCACCGAGCTAACGGGATCGGTTGGCCGGTTCGAATCTGATGTACATAGCAGCGGGTACCGCATAAACTATTACAAGATTGAATTTTTGCGCCGGGGTGATATAAATCAAATTAGGTTTTGCCCTTCACCGACGTTTTAAACACTGTATACCCAGTGTGTTACCTCCCGAGTGAAAGTTGGAAAAAATCACTCGGGTGGGACTCGAACCCACGACCTCCTGCTTTCTAGTGCAGATGTCTTACCACTCGACCACCGAGCTAACGGGATCGGTTGGCCGGTTCGAATCTGATGTACATAGCAGCGGGTACCGCATAAACTATTACAAGATTGAATTTTTGCGCCGGGGTGATATAAATCAAATTAGGTTTTGCCCTTCACCGACGTTTTAAACACTGTATACCCAGTGTGTTACCTTGCATGATGTCAAGCACCACGTTTGAAAAGAAGTTTTCAAATAAATTAGACACTGGTAACGAGGTTGAGGGAGAGACCTTGGTGTCACAGATGTTTACGCACCAGCAAAACTTTCTGATATTACTGTTTCATTTTTTTCTTAATATGTACATGGCAGTCGGATGTTTTTAATGAGCATGGATTCATAATTTGTGAACTTAATTCCGTAAACTTGAGCGGCAGTGAAGGGCAAAACCCAATGTTGAATTTTCTGATGTAGGCCTACGTGGCGTTTGAACTAATGTCCATGATATGGTGTAATTTTGTATTTTCTAAAATGTATATACATGTACATGTACTTCAAATGCATACTTGTGTTAATTTCACATTTTAACTTAAAATGTGGACTTTTCTGATTGATGTCGGGCCTTTTTTATTGCATGCTAATACGTTTGCATATTCATGAGCAAAACCATGATGTCATATTACGGCATAGGCAACCAAGTTTGCATGATGCCAAGCACTATTGAAAAGGAGTTTTCAAATAAATAATACAATGCTAACGAGGTTGAGGCAGAGGCCTCGGTGTCACAGCTGTTTATGCACCACAAATTGCCGGCATTTGGGGATTTTGCCGTATCAACTTTCTGACATTACTGTTTCATTTTTTTTCTCAATTGTACATGACAGTGGGATGTTTTCAAGGAGCCACATCATGGATTCATAATTTGTGAACTTAAATCATTAAACTTGCACGGTCTATTCCTTAAAGTAACACCACAGAAACGACACTTATGAATGACAGTAACGAGGCACTTCCAAAGATAATAAAACAAACTATTTTGCAGTGTAAAATGTAATACATTTTCTTTTCAAAGTGCACTCTCACGAGGTGAGGTTTTCATTTCATTTTGAATAGAACATTTCCCCCGATACATGAGGGCTTAATGACACTCTTTCGTCTGTGGTCACAGAAGTCGTAGATTTGACATTCAGTGGGTCATATGAATAAAAACTAAAATATGCTTTTGCTGCCAATTTTAAAGTGTTCGCTTGCACCTGTATGAATAAAAATGAAGCGAACGCTTTTACTGGAGAGCATGAATTAAATGGAATGAATGTTTCCGATGTGAAGTATTAACTGGTTAAAATATTATTTTTGGAGGTTGGGCAGGAGCCACCTTGAAAATATGAAGCAAAAACACTTCTGCGCTAAAACTTGCTGCATAAATGATATGTTATCAGCGTAACATCATAAAAAAAATATGTTAAGTAAAATATTATTGATACCATATACTTTATTTCAATCACATTCATCAAAAGTAATACACTTTTTTAAAATAATTAATTACATCACTAGAAAAAAACTATTTCGTGATTTAAAGATCTGGGAAGTGTAATTTTGATGCAGAAGAATAAGAAGAAGTTTTTATCCAACAGCAATCAGGGAACTGAACAAACTGAAGTAAGCGTCCGGTTTATTTCTGGATGAATAAATATTTTTCGGCAACCGTGACTTAGTCTACAGGACACTTGTGTTTTACATTTTTCGCGAAATTACTTTCGGCATTCTGCAAATGTCGAAAATATTCTGTATCATTCGAGTTTAATTTAAAACTCAAAGTAATCACAGCATTGTATGCATCACCTGCACCATGATGTTTTGGACTCGGTTACCCTACATGTAAACCCCGTGTGTGTGCGAATTCGTGCACATACAAGAGAGCCTATTGTTGGCAACCACTCGTCCGTGCAATCGATCCAACAGTAAGGACGCATATCTGCTGCCTACAGTATAGTGAATGCCCAGCAGTACAAAAAAAAAATCTGTTTGAAGAAGCCTCTGTACTAATGAAGTCACAATTTGTTCACATGTGCACTTTACTATAGTGCTCAGTGGACCATGGGCCCCCACTGGCTCCATAGGAAAGTGCTCATGAAAACAAAGTGTGACGTCATTAGTACAGAGGCTTATTGATTCATTGCATTTGCTTTTCATAAATGAGCTTACTCCTCAGAATTTTTTTTCTGAGCTTGTGCTTCTAAGCATTTCCTAGTTTTGATTCATTCGACCCAAAATATTGTTACTTTTCCAGCGGATTTCTCAGACTGTTCTTTTGTTTTCTAAACGTTCAGTCTTAATTTGCATTTTATTTACAACACGTGTTATTTCGATTTTGCTCACACATAAAAATTGAAAAAAAAAGGAATGACAAATAAATCACAATTCAAATGTATTTATCATGATTGACATCGGTTGAAAAGAACACTAATCAAACATCGATTTCTTATGCATTGGGTTTGGGAAATGGTCTTGGGGTCCCCAGAAGCTATGTGTGGACCTCATTATGCTGTAGCATAATGGTTAAGACAATGGAAATGGTTTCGGAGGAAAATCTCTAGAATTACAGAACGTATTAACTTCAGACGGTGTGGGAGTCCGTCTCGGGGTACCCCAAAAGTGTATGTGCTTTAGGCATGACAGGTTAAAGGTCAAGGTCGTCATGGTTAAAAACATTAGAAATACATTAAGCCGAATGTCCAACAACATACTTCGCATATAAACCTTAAAGTTGATATTAAACATTACATATCAACTTCGAAGATGGTATATGTGGGGGGTCTTTGGCATTGTTGTATTTGAGTCCCTGTAAGTACCCATAAGACCATCACAAGTTTATCACAGGTCCATCAGAAGTCCATCAAAAGCCCATCACGAGTCCATCACAAGTCCATCACAAGCCCATCACAAGTCCATCAATAGCCCATCACGAGTCCATCACAAGTCCATCACAAGTCCATTACAAGTCCATCACACGACCATCCCAAGACCATCCCGAGTCCATCAGTCTATCACAAATCCATCATAAGTCCATCCAAAGTCTATCACAAGTCCATCTCAAGTCAATCCCAAATCCATCCAAAGTCCATCACAAGTCCATTATAAGTACATCACCAGTTCATCACAAGCCCTGCAGGCTCAAGGCAACTCATTTGCTCTTCAAATGTCGCTAGTATGCCTTATAGTGTTATCTTTGTGCTGGGACGTGATACTTATTGAATTGCCCACTGAACACAAATTTAAAGATGGCCGTATCAGTGAAACGTCTTATAGGTCCAGCTCCTGAAACACGATGGATAGCATTGCATTGGTTTTAACACTTTTTTCTTTTGTGTTCTTACAGTAAGGATACTTAACTCGTGCTGATTACTACCAAGATGCCTCGAAAGACCGTACAGCAGTTGGATGCATACATTAAGGCAACAGCCGTCGTGTACGACCACTCCAACGCCAAGCTCATCAGCAGGAAGACTAAAGTCAAACCAAGGAGGAAACAAGCTTTCCTGTCTGTACTGCATTACAGGAAAACGTCATCGGATGATTGCAGTGCAAAGAGGAGACCATCGAAACGATGGACTCGAAGACAATCAAAGCAGACACATGAAAGTCAGAGGTAAACAGCAATGACATTATTCATTTAAAATGAGGGTTATAATTGTAAGTTAATATCAAAGGATTTGTTTAATCATTGACTTTTTCCAGCTACTTGTGTAAAAGTTGAGTGAACTTGTGCAATACTTTTAATTTTGCGAGACTCTTGACAGTGGATGTAACTTTGACTATAGCTTCAAAATATGATCACTGATCCCATTCTATTTTAGAATAATGCATTTCTAAAACTACTCGGGATTTCCCCCTATTTTCACAGTAACACCAAAGACGTAAAACAGAAACTGCAGGTCTTTGTCCGGACTCCCTCCTCACATAGATCCAAGACACTTTATTTCGAACTCCATCCCAAGACATCCGTCTCATCTCTTAAAGAAACAATCCAGAAGAAGATCGGTGTGGAGGCACGACATCAACGTCTGTACATCAGGGAAAACGTCCAGGTAGATATCAATTTTAAATATATCCAAACCTAAATGTTCGCATTGTGGGATTATATATTTTCCAACTGGGGGCATCACGAAGGGGTACATTTATGTCAGCAAGAGGGGCACTTGGGTAAATCTGAGGGGGGGGGGGTGCCCCCGCCATCCCCTCCCCGCGTGTTCCGCCGTCCCTGCAACCCGAAGAAAATCAGTATCCATTCCTTCCAACTTGGCTTAGCGAACGTAATTTAATGGCTGTTTAAAACAATGCACAACTGCAATCATCTCTCTTTCTACTCTGATTGTGTAATTTACTTTTTTACATGATTCACTTTGTTAGCTATGTGACTTGCTCACACTTGAGGAGAATGGCGTTGAAAAGGATAAACTCATCTCTCTTCGTCTATCATTAGATGACGCAAATAACGACGATGTACTAAAAGGTAAATGATAGAGGGTAGGAATAAATGTCCTAGTAAAAAAAAAATCTCAATTTAAAAATATATGATGAAAATAAGTTCAAGCAGTGCTCACCAATAGTTTTTGGGCCTGACTAGGCCTTCATTGGAGCTGGGAGTTGGACTGTCGGTAAATGCAGAAAACTCAACATTCAGACCAAGAGTCTCTTCTTGTCGAACCTGTTGTTGATAACTTATAATACCGTGGCGGTCGTATTTGAAAATGTTTAACTGACGTTACTCTTTCTTTTGACAGACAAAGCCAGCATTGACGATGAGTACCTCACGGACTTGTCATCAAAAATCGAATCATCGTGGAAGGAACTTTCCAAACACCTAGGATATGAAGAACAAGAAGAAGCGGAAATTGCAGACATCCAAACCACCAACGAAGGCAGCACTGAAGGGAGCCGTCACATGCTACTCACTTGGTGGGAAAAGACGACAGATCGCGACGAAGCAGCCCAGAAGCTGAGACGAGCATTGGAGGCCGTCGGAATGACTGATTTGGCCCAAAATGTACCGGGTGAGCAAAAATGTGAACAAGCAGATTTCTTATATTCGGGAGTGGCTTTAGACTAAACTTTACTTTATACATTTTGGATACAATTTGTTTATATGGTACCTTGCTCTCAAACCGAACTTCTTAAACAAATAAGCAATTAAAAACTGCCTAATTGTTACAAACTGTTAATGGTTAAAAAAAACCGTTGAGATAGTTTCATACAATTGGTGAACAATAACATTATGTTGACTCTGTTTGCCTTCTTTACTTCAGTAACGAGCGAATCGAGAGACGAAGCAGCTGGACCCGAGCCAGAAAGGCGTCAAGATGCAGGAGCAGACGAAGAGAGCAAATACATTGGAGCGGCATCAACCGAGGAAGAGAAACTGAAAAAGGAACAAGTGTGTGATCAAGAAAAACCTCAGCTTGTCAGGTAAAACATGATTGAACGCTGGTATTCGTACAACACCTCGTGTTTGAAAATTACCGACGCATCAAATTTCGTGTTTTATTGCTGTTTTTTTTGGGTTGTTTTTTAAGGATAAGTTCACTCCTTTGGAAAACAAAATGTCCTCACTTTAATTATAGCGTAGAAGATGGTTACAGTAATAGTTGATGGCCTTTCCTTTATTCCTTTGTTTTAATATGTCAATTCAAACAATTTGAAGACCCTAAGCATGCAGTACTTCTTTTCTGACAGTTGCAGATATGTGCAAGTCTTCATCCAAAGCCACTGCTCACAAAGACCGAAGATAATGTGTTTGCAAGTGGATCCAGAGACACCTGTCTTGATCTTGAAAGTGATAATAAGCGAGAAAATGGGTGTGCAGCCTCAACAACAGCGATTGTTCATCCGAAGAAACTTTCGCAACTTTGAGGTAAAGATTGCTCCATCTTTTACAAAGTAACCTTGTTGAACAGTATCAATCAACAGTCCATCGAATTAAAGACCATGCATCGTGGGTTTTAGTGACAACCTGTTTGATTCAATTTATATCAGCCGTGTATATTAAAAAGGGCTGTTTCTAATGTCGATAAAATGGAGCTCAAACACTTTTGTTCAAAAAATGATCAACAATTATTGTGAGCCCTGATGTAGTCGTACGATAAAAATGAACCGGGAAAAGGTTAATTGTATCCTTATTGGGCCCATGTAAGGTATTGTTTTTTAATTCAGTCCTTGTGAATGCATTGTTGCGTCCCAATTAGCCTTTCTTTATTTTTCGTTCATGTCAGACTTCTCTATACCATTTATAGATATGGTTACTAAAACAAAAATGAAATATTTAAATACAAGCAAGCTGCCCCCTCTGCCCCCCCCCCCGCATTTGGTGCCCTTGTTCGTTTTTATTCTCATGCAAATTTGCATATTCATGAGCAAAAGTGTGATGTCATTTCAGGCAGACACTTCAACGTTACATCTATAATTTACTACCAGCATTTACCTTTGTCGATTCGTTGTTGTTTCAGTAAATACATTACAGTAGGTTTATCAGCAATCTTTTTCGCCAATGTTTTCAAAGTGCAAAGTGCACAATTATTTGAACAAAAAACCTCTAAACTGAACCAGTGTCTTCTGAAATGACATCACAGCAACAGCGCCATAGTTTGTCAGGAAAAGGAAAGAATTTGTTTTAAATGTTGAAATAAGTTACCTTATCAATTAAATTAACCAAAAAGGTATGTCAAATTAATGTTTATTCATTTAAGAGGAAATGAAAGTTTCCTAAGAACTGTTCCCGATTACAAATCATGCCATTGGCACTTTAATTCAATTGGACCTTTCCAAAGAGTGTTTATTATATTTAAGGATCTTGCATGTTTTTCAGCTATGTAACTTGCTGACACTCAACGACTGTGGAATTCATCAGGACGAGAACATCTCACTCCGTCTGTGTACTGATGGCCTACTGGGTGGTGGACCCAAAGGTAAATGCTACATTACCTTAAAAGATAGAGTAGAATCCACAGGCGTTAGACCCTGACGATTAAGCTGGGGATGACACATCCGCTTCTCTAACTAGATTCGCCTCACGACAATGCGACCTAAGCATTTTTTACGAAAGCCTCTTGGAAAGTGTTAGTGTTAAAACGTTATCGATGCTCAGGCGTTAAACTGTTTTTAAGTCTTGTGAGTAGCAATGACACCAATTCTTAATGCAGTCTAATTAATGTTCTGCACTCATTCCATGTAATTTCACACCAGAAAAATAAGATCGGCACTGATAGTTAAAGCGTCTGAAGGAAATCCGATTAATAATAAGCTTTTCCTTCAACCTAAGTACATGCAAAGTCCCAAGTTAATTGCCTTTCAAACCAAAAAGGCAGCAACAAGTTCATACTTATAATTACATACTGAAGAAAAAGTTTATTTCTGTTTGGCAGACAAACACCCTCTTGATGATCAGTTCTTCCGCGTCTTGGCTCTAAAAATTGTATCTTCCTGGGAAAAATTGGCAGAATTGCTGGGATTTTCAGATGCAGAAATCAAGCAATTCCAAACCACCTCTAAAGAAAACAAAGAAAGGAGCCTACTAATGCTGCTGTCTTGGTGGAGAAAGCAAACAAATCGCGAGGAAGGATTTCAGAGTTTGAGAGATGCGTTATTTTCAATCGGGTGTGCTGAGCTGGCCTTAATGATTCCTGAGCAACAGGAGCCGAAACAGGAGGAACAAAGAAAAAAACCTCAACCAGAGGTTAAAGTGGGAGGGGCTAAAGAACCGAGCAAAGAAAAAGGAACTACATCATTTGAAGACCAAAGACCAGAACACAGGGAAGATGGTCACCGAGACAAACGTAAGACAACGTCACAAATGGAAGGGGCTAAGAAACGAAGACAACATAAAGAAACTTCATCACCAGAGGGCCTGAGACAAAGACAGGAGGACGTTATTAAGCAAAGCGAACCTCAAACGCTGGGACAGGGAATAGTTGTTAAAGACCAGGACTGGCAGAAGCGAGCAAGACCGTCCAATGAGGAACATAGTCCGAGTCAGGTACTTCTACAGAAAAAACAGAAGCTAGGGCAATTCGAGAAGATCGCTCAAAAGGGGATGACGTCATTTGAAGAACCTGAACCGAGACATGGGCAATTAGAGTGTCATCAAGACAAACCTCGACCAGAGGTTCAAGTGGGTGGGTCCAAAGAACACAGCCAACAGGAAGAGATTACATCATCTAAAGATCTAAGACCGAGACAGGAGGAAGTGGCCCATCGAGACAAACCTGACCTAGTGGGAGAGGCAAAAGAAGAGAGTGAGCAGAAAGAGACTACTTTGAGATCGAGACAGGAGGGAGTTGCTCATCTAGGAAAACCTGAACCAAATATAGTGGAAAGAGCTAAAGAGCATAGTCAGAAAGGGACTACATCATCTGAGGGACAAAGACAAAGCCAGCAGCAGTCATCACAAAGCCAGCAAAAAGCAACCGGAACAGATCCGAGCGTTCAAATGTTGCAATCATCCGAGGACCAGGGACTGAAATGGTCGACACATCAGAAACAAGGGGGTGTTGCACCCAGAAATCCTTCAGAGATCCAAGAGACAGTGGTCGAAGAAAGGACATCACAAGACCGACAGGTGATGCAGGGTCCAAGCTCAGCTCAAGACATCGCACCTGTAGGACTCCAACTACAAACCTCATCCCCATCACCTGCTGTCCCACATTGTGGACCTGTGCAACACGTATCAGTGGATTCCGTGCATATTGGCGGTGCAAATATGCCTACCTTCTTGGGACCTGTTTATCAACCAACTTTTAACATCACTCAAAACGTGACTATGCCAGAAAGCAGTCCAGGTAAATTATTGTACACGGAGTCCAATATGTCGTATCTTTCCCTCGCTTGCTATTTTCACTCTTTTCCTCCTCTCTATCAAAGTTGAAAATTGTTTTAAAAATGTACTGTCCGTGCCCAACAAAATGTTTTCTTTTTCTACCACCGAATACTCAACTAAAATGCTATAGATACATTTTTAAAATGCTATAATTGAAGACAAAACAGCTGCGTAGCAAGGACATTTTGATTGGGTGAGCATTGTAGACGTACAGAAAGGGCACAATGTTCTTTTCCTCATCCGCCCTCCGTAAAATTGAAAGTGGGGATGGGGGGGGGGGCAATAGACACCATGGTCCTGTGGGGGCTCTGTTCTGGCGCTCGTCGTGGTGGAACGATTGCCATGTTTATGGGACGTTAAAATAAAAACAAATCATGAGAAGCAAATTCTTGAACAAACTATTAAGAGGGAGTAATACCCCCCCCCCCCCAAATTCTACGCCACTCCACAAGAGAAACTACGTTATGTCCATTTGGGCACCTGCAATCTTCCGAAAAAAAAGTTGTTATTCTGGGTTCTTGCAAGTAGATTATTTCCCGGTCCCTACCTTATCGACACTTAAATCAATTTTTAGATGGACGTGGGATCCTTTTGTTTCGATTTCAAAACTACTGTTTTTATTGCAAAAAACAAGACATTTCGAAAATAAAGC